GTCGTGACACCATCTGCAACCTTGGTGACGTGGCCATATTCCTGAGTTCCTTTCAAATACCTTCCCAAGACCTTCAAGTTCTGCATGTCACATTCCCTTGGTTCACGAATGTGTTTTGCTAGCTCTTTCACACTGTACTTTATGTCCGGTCGATCTTGAGACAAGTATATTGCACTTCCGACACAACTCGCGTATGTCTCTTTCTCGTTTTGAGATAACGGTTTGTCTTTCTGCAACTCAAGTTTTCTCCCTGGTACAGGACTCGGCTTCGCATTTTCCAATCCAAGCATCTGAAGAATTGTTTTGATGTGTTTTGAGTTTGGTTTTGTCACAACCGCTTCCTCAACATTGATTTTGGTTCTTCCCAAGAACTCAGACGTTCTGTCACTCATCTTTCCTGGGTATTCCAAGTCTCCCATTTTCAGTTTTGCATCCCTTTGACGGTAATTGATTTGTCAACAAATCAACCAACACATGTTCTGGTCCACGGACATCGAAATCATCCACATGATGAATCAATACTGTCCCTGTCAGTTGACATTTGTAAACACATGCATCCAGTTTTCCCCTCGTGAAAGAATACTTTTCTTTGGGTAATTCTTCTGTCAGTATTTCTTCCAGTCTGTCACGATATTGTGCTGCAGCTGATTGTCTTCCATACAAATTTCCATCGACCTGCCAAACAATTTCTGAGGCTGGCACGTCCTTCAACTCGTCCTGACTTTCCTTAGGTTGGCTAACTAACCAGACATCGTAGTCCTCCAACCATTCCTGTGGAGGCTTCATCATGACTGGTTGGCCTTTGCTGTCTCCCTGGTCCTTCGCGATCAGGAACGCCGATGAAAGATCCGCCTTGACCCTTGGCAAGTTGTGCAACAAACTGTAGACCTCCACCATCTTCTTTGATGCTTCGTGTGGAGTAGGACAGAAATTGCTAGGTGTCTCTGAACTGTCTTTGTCTTCACTTTGGTTCTTTCTTTTGAAATCTTGGCATGTCAATCGAGATTTCGCTATTCCTTCGGTGACTTTGTCCACCCATTTGTGTCCAAACACCGTGAGTTCTTTGCTCAATTCTCTTCTGTCTCTGGGTTTGAAAGCTCCATAGACTTCATTCAGCTTTCTCAATTCTTCTTTCCTGGCTTCTCTGAGAACTTCTTCGTCTCTGGTTACATTGTCGAGGTAGTCCATGATGTTGGCTAGTGTGGAACTGCTAAAATAGCTTCCGTTCTTTTCCAGCCATTTCTTGTACTCATGTATTTTGTCATAGTGACCACCTGTTTTTCTTTTCTCTCCTGCATATCTCCATTCACCATTTTGAGCAACTGCCGCGATCATGTCTTGGGTTGTACTGACCTCGGTCTCCTCAACCTCTACGGTTGATCGTCTGCTCATCTGTGCATCTTCTGGTGTTGATATGTCATACCTTTCCGGTAGTCCGGCACTTGCTGCCGCTGACCCTGATCCTGCTGCTTCTGCTTTGACTCTCTTTGGGTCCGGTTCTTCAATCTCAACCTTTTCTCCTTCATCATCCACGGTCATCTTGCTTTCTTTGCTGCTTCCAGCTTCCTTTGGCTCTTTTCGATCTTCTCTTTTGCTCTCCTGGAATCTAACCATGGGCGCTGGAATTTCAATTGCCCACGATTGTTCTTGCTCTGGCTTTTCCTTGAAGTCGTAGACCTCTTCGCTTGCCAGTTCTGGTGCTGAAACCAAAGCCTTCCTGGATACGACTGCATCCGGCTTGCTTTTGGTTATTCCCAAAACTGCATTCCACGGTGCTCCCCGCATCTTGTCGAAGGTCTCCTTCTGGTACTGAGAACCAACTGGTAACCTCCTCACAGTGCGGTACTTCTGAGCTCCCGATTCTGTGAGCACAAGATGCTCATCGGAACTGCTGGTTTTGCCTCCATATATGCCTTTGATCCACCTAGGTGCTGACTTCTCGTTAGCTGCTCGAGGGAACTTTGCCATCACTGTCTCCCCCAACGGAATCAGCTCGCCCGTGTACTCGGCACCTGAGATTATTCGATATGGAGTCGTTCTGCTTTTGTTGATGTGGAACCTGGCCAACGTCCATGCTGAGTGTCTGACCACCCAAGGAAATATGTAATGGTCACAGCTGGCTTTGATCTTGTAGTTCTCATTTATCTCGGCCATACATGTCCTGACTTTTCCCGCAATCAAGCCATTCACCATTTCGCCATCAGCCAAAGATTGTGAACTGTAGCGAGGTGATTTTCTCAGCTTGACTTTCTTTTCCGGCATTCTCTTCTTGACCTCGTCATAGAGCTTGTGCAGTGAGTTTTCTTGGTCCACCTGAATGGTGACTTTGGCCCAACCAAGTTCCTCAATCCACGTGATAAGCGCTTTGATGGCATACTCGTTGCCACCTTTCGCTGGTACCACAATGGCAAACGGGAATTGGCTGTCTTTGCAAATTGCTGTCAACACCGTCACCAAGCCCTTCTGCTTCAATCCGGTCTCCTTGTCAATGATGTGTCCATCCTTGTTGAAGAACAAATAGTCTGAGTAGATGATATGTTCTTTTGATTCCTCTTTCCGCTTGTGGTGCTTGTCTTTGCCTTGTCCTTGCACACATACTTCACACCATGCTTCGAAGTTCGCGTGATGTAGTCTGTGTTCTTCCCGCTCCTTTGCTGAAGGTTGCGGTGGTGCTTCGATGTTTGCCTTGTGCACCTCAGGTTCGCCTACATCCATGGCTTTCTCTAAATCCTCTGTGTCAGCTATGGAAGGTTCATATCCATCACTTTCTGCATCTCCTTTCTCTCTGCTCTCTCCTTTCCCAAGCAATCGAAGTGATTCCTCCTGTGTTGCTTCCACATTCACCATACCTGCTGGCATCATCTCTTTCTCGTCAATCTCTTCTGCTGTCTCCTCATCTTCTTCATCTTTCAATCGAAACCAGCTTTCTCCAAGCCATTCCTTTCCCATGTTCTTTGACGCTGTGCCTCGTCTGGTCCAAAGACTTTCGTCCTCGGCCTGTTCTCCATTTTCACTGAACACCATCTTTGTCAATCTTCCTGGCAGGATGGAGTGGAGCGAAACAGGAAGCTCCTTCATCTTGCTCGGCGAAAAGAGTTGGAATCTCGGAGTGTTGTGAACTCGAATGAGATAGTCATTGCCATCTTTCTTCTCTCGTCTCCACTCATCCGGCTCCTTCTCCTCTTCAATCTTCTGACCTGCTTCGACCGGTGCTACCCGACAGTGGACTTCCGGGTGATTCCCCGAAGGTGATCCGCCATCGTGACTTGCTGAACCGGCGAAGTGCTGAACCTTGAGATACCATCTTTTCCCATGAAGCTCAAGTGGGACGTTTTCGCCTTGGTTGGTGACAATCCAACAAGCGTCCTTAGTGAAATGCACTTCATGTCCTTTGGCAACTAAGCTGTGGACTGAAACTAAGCTTTCTGCCGAATCTGTCACTGTCATTTCAATGTTTCCTTTGAGTCGGCCAAGCTGAACAGCTGGGTACTGTTTCCCATGCACTTGAAGTGGGTTCCCTTGGACACTGAACAGCGGTCTGGCCTTAGTGCTGTCAATTGCACCTGAAAAGTCTCCTTGCTTTGCCACACTCTCGCATGCTCCTGAGTCCACCAAGAGATACCTGGTGTTTCCTGTTTTACTTACAGTAGAAACCCTTGATTCCCCAACGGTGAAAATCATGGAGTTTGGAGATGGTAAGAGATCTGACACGGCACCGACTGCACCTGAACCTCCAGTGGAAGAAGCCGCCTGTTCCTTAGCAGGTGTTGAGTTCTCCACGGCTCCGACCTTCCACCAGCAGTCGGCTGCGACATGCCCGAATTTCTTACACACGTGGCATTGTTTTCCTGCATCCGGGTTGTTCACCTGACCACCTTTGCCTGATCCTTTGTCGTTCTGACTTTTACCTTTACTTCCTTTTCCTTTTTCCTGACCCTTTCCTTTCTCATGGCTGCCTTTTGTCTTTCCTTTTCCAGTACCTTTGTCGCTGTATTGCCATTTCCAGGACTTGTCTCCTTTTGCACTCTGGTCGTAGTTACCTTTTCCTTTTCCACCTTTGCCTTTTCCTTTGTCACCCTTGGAACCTTTTCCTTTGGAAATTCCACCGATGTCCATTGGCATCGGACCTCCATCATCAACCTTATTGGCGACCTTAGTCAAACCAAACTGGGATCCATGCGGACGTTTCCACACGTTCTTGTTTACCAAGTACTGCTCTATGTACTCTCTCATTTTCGAGTAACTATTCAGCGCATCGCTGTGCATGAATATGCTTTGTTGCAATTCTTTTGGTGACACATGTGCGAGAATGGAAACCTTCTCGTCTTCCGAAAAAGGTGTTTTAAACATCCTTTCATACTCACGAAGCTCAGATTCCCACTGATGAAGCGCAGTGCTCCACGTGGCCATGTCTGACGGAAAGTTTGGGTTTGAAAGGTGTTTCCTCCACACCCATGCCTTGGTGCGGTAGGAGGGTTCTGAGAGTCGAACCAATCGCCTCCAAATTTCAAACCCATTCGCATCGTGCAGCCCTTGACCGATGACGTTCATTGTCGGTTCGGGGCAATACTGCATCAAGAAGGTGTACATCGCTTTTGCCAAACGATCTTCTTCCTCGGTAAAAGCAACTTCATCAATTGGATCCTTAGCTGCTCCATACTTTTCCAAGAGCTCAGGATACTTACCATGAACTGTGCTTGACCATGCTGTGAAAATGTGTTTGAACTTTTCCCACTCTTCTTTCTTTCCATTGTATGTTGGTGGTTTGGGCACATTGCTGGGGTGTATGAGACTCCTATCCTGGTTTGCTTGCGCGGTTTGTGCTGCCCTCGCTGCTGCCAGTTGGGTTTCCGTTTCAGTCAACCTACGTTGTGTTATCTCATGAGCCTGACATTCAAAGCAGTTGTTTGTTCCTGTAGGGCTTGCAACTGTTGTTGCATCGCCTGCACCTCTTGCGGTGAGGCCATTTCAGCACTGTACACTAACAGACACCTATAGGGCTATCTGCACTCAGCTATGTACAGCACGGTGTTACCCGCCTGTTTACCAGCCTCGGTGATAACCGTATCGTAAGCTCCCCAGTCGGCCCAGTTGCGCCACTCGTTGTGCTGGAACCTGTAGTTCGCGTGGTAGGGCTCGTAGCGCTCCCAATGATCCCTTCCGTGAGACCAGTTCGAAGAGCTCGCCCTTGACGTACTGTACGACCCGGTACTGTAGCTGGACGAAGAGTAGTTATCTTCGTACTGCTCCTGCCCAACTTCACCTGAGTCGCCCTCAGCAGCCTCTTGCTGCTCGTTTTCTTCTGTGGCCTGCTCTGCGGCCTCCTCTGCTTCTTCTTCTTCGTCTACGCTGTACCACACGCTTGTTGGTGCGTGAGTCAGTGTTGCTTCTGAGAACTCAGTCTGGTTGTCCTCGGGGATCACGGTGTCTCGATCCTCCGGGAGTCTTGTCACTGCCCTTCCACCCACGGTCCTGGTGACCTGCGTGGGCGCCGAAGAGCTGCTGCTGCCGTCCTCTTCGAGGACGCCGTCAACGAAGACTGTCTCGTCCTCGTCGGTCTCACTTCTCAGGTCCTGCCTGATTCTTTCCAGAACCTCCTCGGATGCTGTCTGCGTAGCGTTCTCGTCCACTGACTCAAGCCCTTCGCCAAGTAGTCCGTGAGCTACTCGACGTCCTCCTGTCTCCCTTGCGTAGGAGTTTCTTGACGACCTCCCTGGGTTGCGTCTCACCTGCTCTGCCAGGTGCGGGTATCGCCTTGCAAAGCGATTGAACCCTCTTTGCGCCGCTGTTGACGCTGCACTGTGCGCAGGAATTCCTCCTCGCACTGGGTTTCTGTGGTCCACGAAGTCGGGGTCTCCAAGCTGCGGTGCTGACTGCAACCGAAGCCCCTCAACGTAGCTCAACCTTTCTGCTGCTGGTGCGTCCACTGGCTGTCCAGGCCTCGGGGCTGGAGCTTGCAGTAGCGCCTCGGCTCTTCTGAGAGCACCTCTCTCAGCACGCCGCTCGACTGCAGCTGCTGATCGCCACCGGGTCTCACCCGGACTCCTTCGGCCCTTGCCTTTCTGGCTTGCCCGTAGTGACGGGCTGTGGTCGCCGCTACTCACGCGGCTGGCCTCCTCTTCTCTTTCACCACCAGCGGCCGCTCCTCACGCAGCTCGCCAACCACTCGCGCGCCTATGGAGGCTACGCGGTGTTCCCCGCAGGTAGTGGTGCAACCCACCGGCTGGTCCCAGGACGGCCCGGAACCAGCTCCGCTACCATGCGAAAACGGCTTTCACTCCTTTTACCAAAGCCTATATGGGCTAGCGGTGCAGGGTTTGCGTAGCTGGCAACTCAGAGGCATGCTTTACAAGAACCAGCTATTTCAGCTGAGGATTTCTTGCACCATCCCCCGAATATAAAATACCCCCAAAATATGGCACCCAAATTGGAACAGCTCCAGTACCAAACCAATCATTTCTGGTAAGGCATTCTATATTCATCCATTCTATGTTTGGAAGTGATTCTTTGGAGCAAACCATCTCATCTCATGATCGCTGGTTGATAGCTATCACAGCCATATGGTGTCATGATGTCATATGTTAGGGTATACCCTCTGGTAAACGTTTACATAACTATGGAACATCACCATGTTTAATGGGAAAATCCACTATATTTCAATTGGCAGTTTCAAGTTCGCAAACTGTAAACGTTTACCAGGCCGGGTAATCCAACCAATCAACAAACGTCCGGCTTTTCAACTTGAGAGCTCCACATCGCCACGGCCTTCGGGGAGAAGACGTCATCTGAGAGCTTCAGTTTCAAGTTGCTGAAGGTCACTTGAAACCTCGGTTCGCGGTGAAACAGCGTTCGTGGAAAGATCATCCCGAAAAAAAAGCTCAAGAAAGGGAGCTCCCATGGTGGATTGGGGTAATCCCAAATATATATATATATATATATATATATGTTAGACCATCTACTGGCCTCTATGTCTGTGGTCAGCATACCCCCACCTCCAGGCATGTAAGAGTCCATGTCGCAGTCCACGTCGCAGTCCACGTAAGAGATCATGTGAAAGACATGGCCCATAACAAGCCAAAATAAACCCATAATTGAAGCCCATCATGGCCTACTTACCCACGAACCGTTCAGAAACCTTTACCTGGGTTGTTACGTGAGTTCTTACGTGAGTTCTTACGTAGGTTTTTCATGCCTTTTTCAGGGGGGAATACCCCTGAACCGTTCTGAACCGTTCTGAACCGTTCTGAACCGTTCAGAAACCTTTACCTGGGTTGTTACGTGAGTTCTTACGTGAGTTCTTACGTGAGTTCTTACGTGAGTTCTTACGTAGGTTTTTCATGCCTTTTTCAGGGGGGAATACCCCTGAACCGTTCTGAACCGTTCTGAACCGTTCAGAAACCTTTTCCTGGGTTGTTACGTGAGTTCTTACGTGAGTTCTTACGTAGGTTTTTCATGCCTTTTTCAGGGGGGAATACCCCTGAACCGTTCTGAACCGTTCTGAACCGTTCTGAACCGTTCAGGGGGGAGGTAAAAACAGCCGAACGTAAGAAACCACGTAAGAAACCAGGCCAAAAAAACAGTCCTTGGAAGGGGTTGGACAGGTTAGGTTCTCTCCCAGTGTGTCATGGGCTAAACCAGTGGCCACTGACCACGTGCGCCTTGCCATAGCCATAACTAGGCTCACAGTCACCCATTTTCATGAGCCACACCACTCACATGGGCTTATGAGTGAACATCAACTGACAATACAACGCCACATACATACAATACAAAGATTGTTCAAAGGCCCATTATTTACATGACTTCTTACGTCAACTCTTACGTAGAAAAGACCCATCTCTTACGTTCACCTCTGGGAGACGTCAGAAACCAGCCAATAAAGAGGCTAATGGCAGCTCTAATATATATGCGTATTGCTGGCTAGCAGCTAGATTTCGTCATCAGCCTATGTTTTTGTTGAAGCTGCTCAGGTTTTGCTGTCTCGAGTATGCAACATGCTCTACAATCAACAAGTGCCCAATCTTTTAGCAGGAACCTTTTCGCATGAGGGGAAATTCTGTGGAAATCTGGATGGGTGGTGAAAGGAAAAAAAAACATCCAGGTCCTAATACAGTAAGAAGCGAGCATAGACTTTGGTGAACAAACATGACAATAGAAACTCCAGGTCTATAATTCTTGAATTGAAGAATCTACTGCTGCTTTAGATTGGAGGCTAGTACACCCCAACAGTTGCGGCCATCAGCCAAAGGGCTCATGGCCATTGCTATTTTGGAGGTCCATCCCCCGTGTGGAGCAAACAAAAATTCATGAGGCTCCCCGCTTCAAAGTGCATTCAGTCCTGTAGGCATCCAGAGTAAAGTAGAGCTCCCCTCAGCGCGTTTTTGCTCAGAAAAACCATAGGCCATGTGTGCCATGTGTGCCATCCGCGTGGATAGGAAAGGGAGAAAATCATGTTTGGAACCAGTGATTTTATCAGACCGTTGGGATCCGAACATGGCTTAGCTCTTTGGGATCTTTGGGGGAGTGGCCAGCAAACGGAAATTGCAAGGGTATGAGATAACGAAGCCCAAAGACCAAAGACCCCAAGGAATTTGAGCCCATGCTTGAGGTTGTTGGAGCAAGGATCGGCGATTCATCTCCAAAATCATTTGAAGTCAGGCCAATAACATGCGACCTGGGAAAACTTGACCATCCTAAACTATGCATGGCTCTACACCAAATGTTACAATGTTGCACTCAGATGTTTTTTGGATGCCTAAAACAGTCTTAAACTGTTAAAACTGTGACCCATTCATCACACTCTTCCAGTCGTTGCAACGCGGCGCTGTTCAGCGCGTTTCGCATTTTCTCCGTCACCTGATGTCTTGGTTGTGTCTGGGCCTTCCACGTCCGACGGCGGTTTCTTGGTCAAGCGGCTTGGAAGATGAGCGGCCAAGCGTCGGAGCGGGCAGCCCCACCAGTGGCTAGTTGGCCAGTCTGCTGGAAACCCCAAATCCCCCATGGTTTGAGAAACACGTAGCCTGTGGGTGGCTCAACCACAAAATCAAATTGATTGTGGTTGCTTTAAGATTCCAAATGTTGATCATGGTGTGGGATATGTATTCAGGTTGTATATATAAACCCCATGTATCCCCATGACGTCGAAACTAGTCCATACAATACAACTGGATGAAGACCCTGGTACCCTGTTGTGAAAATCAAAACATATCAAAACAACTTACAAATGGATGTTCATCCCCCAATAGTAAAGGTTTGTCCCCTAGTCGGCATGACCCATCTGCATCTCGATTGCTGGCTCAACCACCAAAAGCACACCGGCAGAGCTGCTGGACGTGACCCCTTCGGACATATGTCGACAGCGCGCGACGTGCGTGGACCTGAAACAAATGCACGACATGAGCACCAGATCTTCAGCAAGATCTTCCATGTCCAAACTCGAACATCTTACTGGTGCTTAGCAGGGAATGAGGGAATGATCCATAATCACTAGTAAGCACCAGTAAGAAATATACAGGGATGCTCCCAATAGCGAAATGGTCAATGTTCATCCCTTTGTGGCTATCATTCACCTATTGATCAGAGGGGAGCAACCCTGATAAATCCCACAAAAATTGCTGGGAAATTACCAAACATCGCATCATTTCGCAAGGGGGGATTGCAAGATTTGCTGGGACATTAAGATCATTAAGATATATTAAGATTCATGTGAGCAAATCATCTACTGTAATATAGTCACATCCAATTGCAACTGAGTCAATGCAATGTAATCTCCGAAGCCCCCAATGAGACGGTCCCTTCCCATTTCCAGACCCATTTCCAGAGGCTTTCGTAACGGAAAAAATCATGGCTCCCATGGGGCGAGGATCATAGAGGTTTTGTAGAGGTATCCGCAAAATCAATATCACCACAAAGCATGACAAAGCAAAACTCAATAGACATGTTGGTTATATGGATAATTATTGACCATAATTATTACAATTATTGTTATCAATGGCAATAGCAATCAATGGTATATAATGGTTCTATAGTCCATAATGATGGTTATAACAGGTTATAACAATCAATGGCGAAACCCTCGGCTGATGGCCAATGCTGGCCATGTCGTGCACACCGCTACGCCGCTACGGCGGTCGAGTCATGGGATGCGGTGGCATCGGGATCATGTCCCTTTGGTCTGGTCTTAGTCCATTCCGGTCATGGCGTCCTTGCGTAGAAAGTCATGTTATTCCAGGGAAAACGCCGGGAAACCATGATTTTCTACCAGCAAATACAGGGGTACCACTGCCACTCTTCCCTTCATCCCATTTGTGGTGGCTTGCAGCACATCACACACGTACACTATTTGTATCTATTTGAATCTATTTGTATCTATTTGTCTGTAATAAATACATCTATACATATATATATATATATATATGATTATATATTGCCAAGCCCGTGTTTGGCTTAAGACTGGTGGGGGGGGGGGTCCGGAGGGGGAAACGGAGGGGGGGGGGTGGTGCACGGCAAGGTGCTAAAATTTCAAAAATAGGTGCTCAAATTTAAGGAAATAAGTGTTTTTTTGAAGAAACCGGGTCGGGATCCAGTCGGGACCCACTCGGGACCCAGTCGGGACCCAATCGGGCACCAATTTTTGCATTTTTGGGCACCGCTTTTGGCCAGTCGGGATCCAGTCGGGATCCAGTCGGGCACCAATTTTCGAATTTTTGGCACCACGTTTGGACCTGTCGGGAAGCAGCCAAAATCACCGAAAAACATGCAAAAACACTGCAAAAATGCTATTTTTTATGAATTTGGCTGCCTCCCGACATTGGTGCCCGACTGGATCCCGACTGGATCCCGACTGGATCCCGACTGGCCAAAAGCGGTGCCCAAAAATGCAAAAATTGGTTGCCGACTGGGTCCCGACGGGATCCTGACTGGATCCATAGATTGGCAAGAACCCACTCCCGCACCTATTTTTCCCTTCCAAGACCCACCCTTGCCCCTATTTTCCTTTTCCGCGCACCAGCCGTGCACCAATACCCCCCCCCCTCCTGCACCAAAACGGCAAAAGCAGTCTTAAGCCAAACGGGGTTCTACAATAAATTATATATGTAATAAATATGTTAGCATGAATGTATACAGATCATGACTATCGATATACTATCGATAGTGCGGAGTGTCCATTCAGATAGTCAACAATTCCCACAACTGGGTGGCCCACCCACAAGTACCCAATCACCCCAGCTACAGTACTGGGCTTGCGGTCAAAACATGGGGTTAGTAACTTGAAAGTCATCCATCCTATAGTGGGAATCCTGAAAAACCGGCTATGCAAATTCTAATCTGGTTGGTGGTTGAGCCTACCCCCATGAAAAATATGAAAGTCAGATTGGATCATCATCCCAACTATTGGGGAAAATAAAAAATGTTCCAAACCACCAACCAGTAATTAATTGATGACCATTCCCCATGTACCAACATTTGCTGCGATTCGCTGCCGGTGGACCGTCCAATGTGACCTTGAGGACTCGTGATGGGATTCATAATTCAGGTTATCGCACATGCTGCACTCAGGACTTGCATGGACTTTTGCCAACAAATCCTGCCTAACGCAACGTTTCAAAAAACCAAGCGACTCAATCGCAGATTGGGACCGCTGCTCCGGTGTGAAACTTGGGCAAAACCGGTTGGATCTGGAGCATCGAAACAGGGGGATAGGGATGGGATAGGGCATACGTCTGTGCAACCACGTTTCGCCAGCTGCTCCGTCTTGTCGTTTCGCTTCAAATTCTCATTTCTGAACTCTAAAAAGGCCATCCAATCATGCTCCAATTATATCGTATACATAAACCAATGTCTTCCAAAGCCATTATTTTTTGTTCACCAGCACTGGGTCTTTTTTTTCCCCACCTGCCAGGTGAGGGTTGTTAGATTTTATGTCAGTTGCCTCCTCCTGCCTCCTCCTGCCTCCTCCTGCCTCCTCCTGCCTCGTCCTCCTCCTCCTCCTCTCCTCCTCTCCTCCTCGTCCTCCTTGTCATCCTTGTCGTCCTTGTCGTCCTCGTCGTCCTCGTCGTCCTCGTCAA